CTTCTTGCTGAGTCTTCAAACACACAAGATAAAGGTACATACACATCTTCAAGGTCAATAGGAGATGTGCTTGTCCTTTTCTTTTATGGGTCTTGATTTACAAGTACTCCCTTTGCATGATTTGAACAACAGAGAACAGATCTAAAGTAATTCTAATAAATAATAAGCAACTTAATAAGCCTGTGTTCTAGGGCAAGATTAGAAATAGTGGAGGATTTATAGGGTTCCCCCCCCTCCTTCTCCCTCCCCCCCCCCCTTTTTTTTTTTTAAGTCCCCTGGAAGAAAATTTCTTGGCAATACAAAGTCCCTGGTTTGAAATCAAATAGGGAAGCATTTTCGAAATTTCTAGGAGGAGTTAGCTTTTGTAAAAAAAAAAAAATAATAAATCAACTAAAAATTAAAGTTCTTACTTTTTCCATGTCAAATAGTTCTTACTTTTTCCATGTCAAATGTATTAAATCTTTAGCCATATAATGCTTTTATAATGCCATGTATTATGGCCATATAAAACCCATCTATTATGGCATTTGGATTTATTATATTGAACGTAGCATGCACCAGTTTACCTGTGGTATATTTTCCTCCTTAGCTCCACAGTCTCACCAATGGTATTCTTGGGGTCCTCCTAATATGCAGTGTAGATTGTGTGCATCGTGCTGGATTTATTGGAAGAAATACGGTGGCCTGAAAATGCCCACACAGACAGATGAAGATAAACTGTCTTCCAGCCAACCTACAGAGGTAGGATCGTGTAGATAAACTTTCCTAAAATGAAATGTGATGATTTCACAAGACTGCTGTTATTTTGATATTTAATGAAATGATTTTTTTAATGTATGTGTTCAACTTCGGTATTACAAAACTCGATTTATTAATCCTTTTCCTGTCTTAAGTAGAACTGAACATTGTGCAGGACCTGCCATGTCTTTATTTGACTAAGTCTGAGACAAAAAACCATCCACTTCATGCATTTTTGGTGGACAAATGTCATCTTGTCAGTCAAATGGTGTGTTACCTATAAAACATAAATATGATTATACGGTATCTCATCTAGAATGACATTATATATACACTCACAATAGAGTTCTCTGTGTTTTACAGCTTCATACATAAGCCCCAGTTTTTTGCATAGTGCTGATACATATTATTTGATTAGCCTCATGAATTTATCCAAATTAGGGATTTTTTTAATGCTGTAAAATTCAGATGTATTTTGTGTTACGATTTTTTTGTTTGTTTTTGTAGGAGTCCCATGTTAGAACTCACATGTCCCGGCAGGCCACACAGGGAACTCCAGTTCGTAACACTGGAAGTCCAAAGTCGGCAGTGAAAACGCGTCAAGCTTTCTTTCTTCACACAACGTGTTGGACAAAACTGGCCCGTCAGGTCTGCAAAAATACCCTCCGGCTGCGGCAGGCAGCAAGACGTCCCTTTGTCCCTATTAACTGTGCTGCCATTAAGGCAGAATGTAAGATGTTTTTTTAATTCTTAGTTCTGTGTGCTGTGCTTCCCACCCATTTTTGTCTTTTAATTTTATTTTCTTTTTCAATAAACATTTCTTGTCTATACACTTTGCTTTTAATTTTTTCATTTGTCCAGCATATCACCAACACATTTGATAAAGTCTGGCTGCTAAACAGATTTCAGGCTGGGGAAGCAGTTCAAGTGAATCAAAACGGAGATAACTATTACCTCATTCACTTGCAAAAAATTGTCACAAAGAAAAAATTGGAGGCAGGGAGGGGAAATCAATGCCGTGACATAAAAAACATGCTTCCAACTAGGAAGTGTGAAAAAGGTTGGCTTTTATATTGTTCATTTATTCTTTTCGCTGAGCAGAAAGTATAGATCTGTGCGTGTTTTACGTTTTCTCAGTGGGGTTGGTCAAGGAATAAGGAGCTGAGGATGCATAAGAATTTAAATCTGGCCTGTAATATAACCCTTTCTTACTGTGGTGATCAGATGGTGGTGATAGCCATGTTTATTATTACATCATAATTGCATCTTTTTTTTTTGTTCTGTCTGTTCCAGTTTTAAATTTTAGTTTTAAATAAAATTCTATATTATTCTATATTATGCTTGGTTTTTTTTACAGCCAAAATATAAAGAACTGATAAATTCACTAGTAGCATGATAAAAGGTGTGAGTTGTTGCAGATAGCAACAGTAAATCTCTTTATGTGCTTTTGTGTGTAAGTTCTATCGCAAAGTCCCTGAATATTTCAGCAGGTTTTCTGTCTGCGCTGAGCGCGTTGTTCTACTGCTCACGCTGTTTGGTTACGTTTCCCAGTCTTCCATAGATAGATGCAGTTCTTGGAGCAGACTCTTGGTATTCCAAGATGAGTCGCGCTGGCTCATCGTACTGTCAATTGCATTAAAACCAAAGAGAGCTCTTTAGAATATTAGATGTTGGTTTTATAACTATGTTTACTAGATGAAGGCTAAATGTTTTCCCAGCATATTTAACTGGGATGCTGATGATGTCAGTGTTGATTATAAGAAATTTACTCCATGGAGGCTTAAAATCTGGTTTTGAGTAATTATTTTCCCCTTATGTACTTTAAGACCAGCCATTCTTCACATGCCAACTCTTCCTTATTTCTGCAGTCATCCAGAACTTGGTGAATATTTCTGTTCATTGTCCTTGTTTTATTTATTTAGCTGTCCTGTTCGCCACTTTCTTTCTTGTTTCAAAGCTATGCAAGTCAGAAGCAGCTTTCGGATTTAAGGAAACCATATGTCCCCTGTGGAAAGAAAATGGGCTGTACTTTATGGAAGAAGTGTGTCTAAGGCTGCACTAGGATTATATTTTTAATCGTTAATACAAAATAAGAGTTATTTTCAGTGAGGAAAGCACTGTACCTTTTAATCTGTGTAATTGTGACTGATACCTGCTGAATCATGGGGGAAGATTAATTTTAGGAGTTCACTTGAACCTTGAATCTTTTTATCTGTTTCCCTATTCTCACTCACTGCAGTAACTCGGTTTGAAAGAAGATGAAGCTTTTGTTTAAGAAAGAGAAAAAAATAGACGGAGAAAGGCCAACCGTTAATCATCATACTAGAACAAGTGTTATATACACGGTTCAACTTTAAAACAAAGGAGTGAAAAGCTGAGCTTTTCAGGAGGAAATAGTCGCTCTTGTATCAGACTGGCAGTGCTGTGAGTGCTTCCTCTTTGTTCCTTTGAATGAAAAACTGCCACATCAGATTAAGATCAAGAGCAGAAAGATATTCCCACCCCCCAACTCCCCCGGAGTCTCTGTCTTCCATTATTCTTTTTGCTTAGAGCAAAATTTGGACCTTGCAGTTTTGTCTTTTTGAATGCCGATGCTTCCTGATTAGACCTAGCATAGATTGGGGGGCGGGGGGAAGTCACAGTTGTCAGTGCTTTTTGAACACAACGTTCAAATTATTTTATAGTGGTAGAAACCAGATTATACCTCATCTGATTAATTTCACTCCCATTTCTCTGTGTGTACACACATATGTATACACACACACGCATATATTCTGTTTCTGGCAATATCTCTGCGGAATCATACAATGCTCTTACCTGCATTGTCACTGTTATGTTCTTACTCTAGTAAAGCCTAGTAAGTAAGTAAATAAAAAAATAGTTTTGTTCCTGTACTTACATCCGGTGATCTGTGTTCAGTGCACTGTCTAGGTTTTAATGTTACAACTAAACAGGCGCTCTTTGTCTGAGAATGCCTGGAATCCTTTTCTAAGGATAGCTTGATGCAAGTAATTTTTAAATTTTTTAATTTTTAAAATGAGATATTTAATTAACAGCAATTATTTCATATGTTGAATACCACTGAGTAATTACAATATTGAATGAATGTCTGTGTTGGTGGTACAAAAAGTACAGTCGTGCTTAGATGATAACCTGGCCAGAATGGCAGGTCACCCATGTGATATGGCATGAGATGGTTAGGACATCCAAGAACTGACCTGGAATTTGTTTTCCATGTTGGTGTGCTGAAACTTGAATCCAATGACTGCTTAGATGCTTTGTCAGACTCGCCTGACTCTGTGTGTGTGCCAGACGAGTGCTTGAAAACGTGACTGCATTTCACAACTATATTGCAGTAGGCACCATACCAACACACAGAAACCATAAAATCTAGAGACCGAAGGATGGTAGGGCACTTACCCCAGCGGCATACTGGGTTTTATGTCGTCTTAGTCTTAGGCAATTTGCAGAAGTGCCAGGTTGTAAATGAAACTAATTCCCAGTTCTGAGAAGGAAAGTCTGACCAAGCCAGTCGGATCTTGCTCGTAAAATGAATTGATTTTTGCATTCCACCTGAACTCTTCTGCAGATACTTCTTTTGCCCTGGAGGAGCATGGAAGCCTCTAAGAATGCTACCCTCAGGCTCAACCATCTTTTAGGCAAAACCAGATTTCAGACAGCATTTTTTTTTTTTTTGTTACTGTGATTCCACCTACATCATCTCCCCTCGGCCCATTACATCCACTGGCAGAAAACAAGGTCCTGTTCTATGATCTTTATTCCTTCAGTTAGTGCAGAGAATTAGATTTTCTCATTAATGAACCATATAGCATGACCCCTGCTCATATGCCAGCAGGAGGTAGTGGAGACGGTGCATTTACATCCCAGTTCAATCTAGGAGTGGTCACCAGGAGGTTGAGAAGGCATGGCACCTCCTGCTAGGAGCACAACCCATCATGGAAATCTCAAACTTTGTTAATAGACTCGCTGTAGTTGTTGTCAATTAACTTGTCTAATGGATTTTCAGGAATAATTAGAATTGGTGAACCGTTTTTGGTAAGAGAAAGTTCCCATGCTCTAAATTAGGCAAAATACCTTCTTTTTAGTTTTAGTATATTTCATGTTTTTCAGAAAGTTAAGCAAAAGGTCTCTTAATTAGAGGAAGCCAAAGTGGGCATTCTTCTCCAGACAGCCACTGACAAGATTGGATCTGTTTCCAGCTTACAAACATGTTGATATATGCATGGCAGAGCGCCGTGCATCTGTGAACCTTACTACTTCAGCACAGGAAGATTTTTTTTTTTTAAGGGTTGTTTTGTTGTTGTTTGGTTTTTTTCCCCTGCTCGGATATAATTTTATCAATATAACTGTATTAATTATAGTAATTTAAATTTTGGTAATGACCTGCGTAGACTTGATTGTCAAAATGTTTTCAGTGGATGGTAATATATTATCTGTATTATATATATATCTATTTATTTGGAAATGGGTATACTGTTCACGATCAAAACTTAACATACCTTTAAATCTGCAGATTTAATAACAAGGTTGGTACACAGTACTTGCTTGTTACGATCTGGTCTGATAAAAAAAGACAAGTGAAAATTAAGTGGAATATGCAAAATGCTACTGATTTGTCTTTGTAAGCTAACAGCCCGTGTTCTACTGACACAGAACTACCCGTTCGTCTGAAGTGAGTAATATTTATGGGGATTGGTTCACAAACAATGTTTTACATCCTTGATCTCGATAGCTACGGAAGATCTTTTGGCTGCATCTAGGATGAAAATATTTTATCTGCTGTTACCTTTGATTACAATTTGTGCCAGTTTTTAGTAGCCAGTAAAATAATTAAAAGAACACACTGTTTTTTTCCCCGAAGTTTCTAAAAAGAATACAATTCAGGGAATACATAGAGCGCAGTACATTCATTAGATAATCTGAATTTTGATAGAGATGATGGAATGTCAAAGAGAAATAAGTCGCTGATGAGAGTCTCTTTAAGCTTGAGAGACCTACAAATCTAGTTTAAAAAAAAGGAAATAATTAGAAAAACCCTTTCAAATCTAAAAGAACAAGCCTCATTCGCTATCATCTTCTCCATAGCATTCCTGATTTCATTAACCTCTGTAATGCCCATAACAGTCATCACTTTTCTAGGTTAAGAACTTGGTCTGTTTAAAACCTCATAAAGAATGCACTTCACACTGTGGTTCATCATGTTGTTCCCTGGGGTTTTTCTAATTGTACTGTATCCTCCTCAGGGTTATGGTGCCCCAAATTACATGCACTTCAAGATAGAGTTTTCCCATTATTTTAGTGTGTCACATGTTTTTTGTTTTCCTACCATCATAATTTCTAATATTCTGATTTTTTTTTTTCTAAGTGACCAATCTTTATTTGCCTAGATACTTTTAGAAAGCTGTTGACAATTCTCTTCTGTATTGTGGTGGTATAGAACCCATGGTTATATGTATATGTTACAGGCATTTTACCCCTTAAGACCTAATTTACATTTATTGCTTGATGCTGCTGATACCCTTTGCAATCAGTTTTAGCTTTGATTATGCTCAGTAATTTCTCATCAGGAAACTTTTAACTTTCTAATCACCTCTTTTCCTGCTCTTTTATATGTTGAACAGGACAGATCCTTTGGGATTATTACATAGACAATTAAATTTAATCAGGCGCTAATCCCTGGAAAAAACCTTCTCTTTTACCCTGTAACAGCTGGACAGCAGCGGTCTTGGTGGCACAGTTGGTTACAAGCTAATTGAAATGCCAAGTCGGATGCCAGGTCAGCTGCCTGTGTACCTGTCGTGCTTCCTTCGGAGCATCCTGGCACACCTGACACGCAGTCACTGGTTACAGGACGTGTCGGTAGGAAGGGACCTCTGGAGGGCTCTCATCCCCACCCCTCCACAAAGCTCAAGTGCTCAGGGCCTTTTGTCCAGATGAGATTTGTGCATCTCCAAGGATGGAGACTCCAGTAGCTTCTCTGGGCACCTGCTCCCGTGTTTGATCAACCTCACAGTAAATAATCTTTTACTTGCATCTAACAAGAATTTCCCATCGCCCAGCTTGTGTCTGTTGCCACAGAGAGCAATAAATAGTATGTTGTCCTATCCCTACGTACCTCTGAGAAGGGTCTGGCATGATCTTCTCTGTGCTCCAGCACTAGGTAGTTACAGGTGGCAATTGGGTCTCCCCTTGGCCGCTTTGTCTTAAGGCTGAGCAGACCCAGTTCCCTCAGACTCTCCGTGTACATCCTATACTCCAACCCCAAACCAGACCCTCCAATGGCTGGACGCTCTCCAGCATACCCATAGCTCATTTATGGTGGGGATCCCAGAACTCAATGCAGGGTCTGGACGTGGTTTCACAAGGGCCGAGTAGAGGCGCAGGGTTACCTCCCTCGCTCTGCTGGCTGTACTCGGGCTAGTAAGGCCAGTATGCGGTCATCCTTCTTGTAGCAAGGACACACCGCTGAATAATGTGAACACGTTAAACATGTTTTCCCTTTGCAAGGTCTTTGTTGGCTCCCTCGGTGTTTCTGTATTTAATTGCGTGCCTCTATTTATAGTTCAACCCTTCTGCCAGCCTGCAGACCTACTTACTGAAGAATGTTACCACGTTTGCCGCGTTTTTGTTCTCTTGAACCAAGACCAGTTTAAGCATTAGTTAAAACACCCATAGTGTACGTGCTCAGCAGTTTCTGTTTGGATGAGTTCCACCTGGTCCTAATAACTTGGTTTTATTCATTAACCAGTTTGTTTTGAAATATTTCCTATGGACGCTTTGATGTGACACAGTCCTCACTGTTTCCTCATGAAAGGGTTTTGGAGATGACCTTGTTTAAGCTGTTCTGCAGTGAACATGGCTGCAAAGACTTCATTCAGCTTTTCTGCCATGCCCTTATCTTTCTTTGATGTTTTCCTCACACCTTGATCATCTCCTGTTGCTACAGGCATGAGCACACTCTCTGCTTTTAATACATTTTAAAAAATATACTATCAAAAGTAATACTCCAATTTCTTATTTTTTTAAATTCATTCTTATTTCTCATAGCTTCCACTGTGTCACTGATCTTATTAAGGTTTTCAGTGTTCATGTGGAAGCCCATATTTGATTTTAGGACTTCTTTTAAATTTTGTTTTTGACAACTTCCTACGTGAATTCTAGTCTATGGTTTTACACTTGAGAGTGATGCACAATCTAACTTGGTGTTTTTCTGTATGTAGTGTGTAAAGATCATAAACTTTATTATATTTTTCATGGGAGTACCATATTGTGGATTAAAGATTGCTGCTGTTAAACATTTTTAATAGAGTGGTGTGTTTTAGAATACCCACCCGGTACCTTTGGTGAACATGCTTTGCCTCGAGCATGGAAATTGTGCTCCCTTTACAGTCTGTATTCTCAGTCAGCATATTAATATCTCACCATGATTCAGTATCTTTTTTTTACAGTGAAGACATGTGGATGGAAAATTTTCTTGCTAATTACTTTTTAGGTGATGCTTTGCTCTTCCCAGAGTAACCATAAAATACTCACTTGTATAGTCTGTGCTTATTTTACTAAGGGAGATGGTGGAGACACATCGTTCTACTCTGACACTTAAAATATTTCAAGTGTTGTGGAATATTTAAAAATATTCCAGGCTCTAGGTTCAGTGCATTTTTTTTTCACTGAGAACAATATATTTTGTTATTAAGGTAAAATAATAAAGTACTTTGTGTACTCAGCATTAGGGCTCTGGAACCTTTGGACTTCCCAGATACCAGCTACCCATTTATGCTTAGCACCTGTAAGAATTCTGAGGAGTTAACCTTAATATATGGAATTAAGCTGTGCGTTGTCTGCTGCGTTAAAAACGTCTGTGAGCATACTGAAATACTTACTTCAGCTGTTCCGGTGATTTCATGACCTACAAGTTTTTTGCATATAGCTAGATAGAATACATAAAGAGATTGTAAATTTTGGTTTTTTCTCAAATGTAAATTGTTCTGTATAGTGTCTTATCCTCCTCCTGTGCCTGTGTACTTCGTATCTTGTGCTGGAATGAAACTGTCATACTTGGATACAATTGACCACTTCGTTCAAAAGTTTACAGTAAAGGGTTTTTTTGGGTTCGGGTTTTTTTAAAACTTCATCTTGCAATGATAGCCCCCATGTTCTGTTCTGCTTATTAAGAATGATATAAATCACCATACCATGCGAGTAATACGTGACCAAAATCAGTATTCCCAACTTCAGATCCTTCTTATATCTGTATTACTCCGTTTAGGGCCAGACGAGCTTGTACAAAACAACGAAGAATTCCATGTCAGTTCTTTCTAAGAGTCAGAGCTGCTTTTATTTTAGTACTCATGTTTTCATTTGTGTTTCATTTGCCTAGCTGACTGTCTCCAAAAGACTTTGTAAGCAAAATACGCAATCAGATTTGTGTTAGAACTTACATTAACTTTAGAAAAAAATCATAACATCGCTTGCATGAATGAGGACATGGCCTGCCTTTAAATATCTCTCATTATTAGCATTGATGAAAAAAAGAAGAGTATGTGCTAAAAAGAAATTTGTGGTTAAAATGTAAGTCAGAAACTGGTTGGTGCATCCTAATGATATTTGTAATGTTAGAGTATTTAAACTGAGTTTCATTCTTTAAAATTCTCAGATGCAGATCGACATTGTGAAGTTGCTGGAAATCCTCTGAAGATCAAAAGCACCAGAAAACCACTGTCATGTATCATTGGGTATTTAGGTGGGTATCTACTTCAAGAGGGAAAAATTAATCAAATGGACATTCAGTATTTACTGATATTTAAAAATCCTGTGTGCATAGAATGAGAGACTTGTGCTTGTAGTAAAATAAAACTATAAAGTTAATAAATTAATAAAAATACTGGTCTGCTAGCAGTCGCAAAACTGGATGATTGAACTTCCAGGATGTAGCCAGAAGGCTGCCTGATACTGGTTTAAAATGGCAGAGTGAAACCTGATGCAATTTAGAATGTGAAAAATATTCTGGTAGTCTAAATAAACGGTCAACTCAGTATGGCGAGTGCTGCTCTACGGCGTCCCTTGAATCCGCTTGTAATACTCCCGTGTACTTGAAAGGAGCAGACTTCAGCCACGGTGAGACACTGATCTCTTAATTTCATGACGTAATTTTAAAAGATGCAATGAAATCTGTACTGAGATCATAGCCAGGCGGTCAAGGTACTCACATAAGAGAATAGGGAGAGGAGATACTCTAGTAATTGTGATTCCTTATTCAAAAAATGAAAGTAGTCCTCTTTGCAAGGAACCACCACGGACTCTTAAATATTTACGTAATCATATGAGAGATGGGATACCCCAGAGGCCTTATATTAATCCTCAAATAAATATAGAAATCAATCTGTTGATCAGAGCAGCAGTGAATAGTTCTGCAGCGTGTTAATCCCATTGTACAGAAGTAAAGCTGAGGGCAGAACTCAGTCTAAACATTTTTCTCAAAAGGAGTTTTGGTACTCGACCAAAGTAAACAATAACAGTCTCTTGACTTACTGAAATAGAAATCAGCTGTTAATGTAGTTGTAACTGTTCCTCCAGAACATCGAATTTGACAAAGTCCAAGCTTCGGAGAACTGGGTAGTGAAGAATTAATGCCCACTCTCACTGAATTTTGATTTCTCCTGCCCTGGAGTTTGAGGAAGAAAAGCCAGGGGTGATACCCTACAGGCATCCCAGCCGCGTGCGTTGCAGATGGTGTCGGTCGGGTGGATGAGGAAAGGACTGCTTTGATTGACTCGGGGGAGCTGTGGTCTTGAGGGGGGGTCCAGCAGGAGGCGGGCGGTTCATCCGGCTGACCCCGCTGGGGTAGTCGAAAGAAGAACTGGCAGCGTGTGTGATCTTGGAAGATACTGCATGTTTCTAGTGCTACGTTAGTTGGCGACGGGTTGGTTTGATACCTCTGGGAGCGGAAGTCTGTAGGTTTAACGGGAGTAAATGGATGAACGGTGTCAGACAGCATTATGTGTGCTTAGGTGAAGGTTTTGTAGAAGATTAACAGTGCTAAAACATACCAGGTATCTGTAGAGTCTGCTGAGCGTTTGACTGGATGGGAAGTGAAGGTATCTCACTACTGTTGAAGGTATCTCACTACTGTTGAAGGTAAATAATGTGTGTTGCAGGGATGTGAAGTGTACCCAGTGTAGTTATGGACATGCATCGGAATTAGCTCTATAAGGATGGCTAGAAAATGGCTTTTTGTTTGCCATTTAGCTTGGTGTTTCGTTTTTGGGGGTTTTGGGGTTTTTTTAGTTTGTGATGGTTTTTTGTTTGGGATGTTTGTTTGCATGTTCCAGTGAATAAGTAATGCTTGCATTATTTTTCCTCATAAAATTTAGCATTAACTACCATGTCATCATTTATACAGGAGGCATTTATTTTCTTTCTAAAATTCCTTCCACGCCATCCCCACAAACATTTATTGGAATACAGTTAACTCTGTCTCTCGGGGGCAACACTGTTTTCAGCCCTGCTGGTAAGGCAGGGAGGATTTCGGTGCCTGCACATCCTGGGTCATCGCTTCCCTTTATCCCTGTTCTGCTGCTTGGCTGCCAGTTCCTCAGGTGAGGTAGGTCAAGCATTAAACGTAGGCCCTGTCCTCCGGAGAGCTGGGACTAATCCCCTGTAATCTCCTCAGTCATCACTGTGCTTCCTAAGCCAACCCCAACCCCCTGCGGGGAACCCCTGGCTAATTAAATGTCCTGTATTACCTCCTGGTTACGAGGAAACCAGGCTGACGTTTCCAGCTGGGATGCACGTTGAGGCAATGAGATGAGAGAGAGGTGCAGCTCCTTAAGCACCCTCTGGAATCCAGGATGCAAATTTAAGCGTCTCAGTAGGAGACGTCGACTTCTCTTTGTTTGCTTTGGATTTTATTTTTTTTTTTACCCTAGTGACATTACTGGAAGTAGAAGCTTTTAGAGTTGTTACTGCTATTACTTGTTTGAGGCTGCAAACTGATCTTATAATAAAGGTTCCTAATAGTTGTTCAAGTATTGTTTCTTATTCCTGTTTTATTTTTATTTCAGAAATTATCATATAATCTGAATCTGGCCAACTGCTTATTTGTTGTGTGGCTAATGGGATAATTTGGATTATTTGCATGCCACAGGTAGTTCTCTGAGTTAGCAGAAGGTGCAGGTGGCTAGGAGATTTTCAGTGAAGTACTAGGCAAGAGAACGATCAGGAATTAGAAGATCCCTAATTACTGTTATTCCATAATACAATTCTATGATGCGATAATATAATTCAGGGAAAAACTCCGAAACGCCTCATTACCTCTCTCAGGAGCGAATGAAGCAGCTGGTTAGAAAGTGCTGATCTAAAGCATGCAAATACTTGAAGCAAGTCTGTATGTAGAGGATGAGCGTGTGGTTATAAAGACCCCGCAGGAAGGACTCGGTCCGTCGGGAAATGGTCCTGGCTGTTAATTGAGTTCCTGTCTAGAACGTAAAAGGAGAGCTTGGTCTTGCTACCTTCCTCTACTGTAGAAAGAGAGAAGCCAGCCTGTGTGGTAAACTAATGGGGGATTAGCGACCTCCCGACTGAAGACGAAGGAAGGAAACGCTTCCTTCTTCGACTGTTCACTCATCCTGAAAATACACAATTATATCTCCTGTACACGGCAGACAGAAGCAGTTTACAAGTTCTCATATGTTGGTCCAGCTGCTGGGATTATTGTGGATGCTGCTGGAGCTCTTTGGCAAATAATATTTTAGTGGTGGTAGCCCTGAAAATTAATCGTTTCCTTCAGAAAATTGGAGAAGATTGCCAAATGAGCATTTTAGAATCCAAACTCCAGTCATCTTCGGCAAACAGTGCAAGCCTTTCTATTTCAGTTGAAAGTTCTGCTTTAGCAGTCAGTGGCGTTCATAACATTAAGCACGTCTCCGTTCCCATTTCAGTAAAAACGCAAAATAGAGGCTCGTTCTCTCCGGCGCGGAAAATGGGCTGTGCCGCGAAATCCGCTGGGAGCTTGGTGGTCCTCAGCTCTTTTGTAGGAAAAGCAGAGGGGCACTGCAGTGAACGGCAGTAAAAAGCTCTCGTCTGAGTGAGGGGTGAGAAGATCCGTGACGTCAACCTG